CCACCAAATCTGTGCTTGACCTTGCTAAAGTGCTGCGCCTGCCACAAAATCTGTACTTGACCTTGCGAAAGTGCTGCGCGTGCCACGAATTTTGCACTTGACCTTGCGAAAGTGCTGCACCTGCCACAAATTCTGTACTTGACCTTGCGAAAGTGATGCGCCTGCCACGAATGTTGTGCTTGACCTTGCGAAAGTGCTGCGCCTGCCACGAAATCGATACTTGACCTTGCGAAAGTGCTGCGCCTGCCACGAAATCTATACTTGACCTTGCGAAAGTGCTGCGCCTGCCACGCAATTCAAACCTTGCGAAACCTTCGCGCGGCCGTGCCAATGGGCCCGTCTCCGAGACCGTTCCGAGACCGTTCCGAGAGACCGTTCCGAGACCGTTCCGAGACCGCCTCCGTACAGGCGTCGCAGCCGAGGTGGTTTGCGCACAGTCCGGAAGCCCAATTCACGCACAGCGCCAACGTTTTCTGCATCTTGCCATCCCCCAGCTCGCAGAGAGTGGACGCAGCACCTTGCGAAAGTGCTGCGCCTGCCACGAAATCGATACTTGACCTTGCGAAAGTGCTGCGCGCTGCCACGTGGCGCCTGCGAAACCCGTGCCAATCCGAGACCGTTCCGAACCCGTTCCGAGACCGTTCCGAGACCGCCTCCGTACAGGCGTCGCAGCCGAGGTGGTTTGCGCACAGTCCGGAAGCCCAATTCACGCACAGCGCCAACGTTTTTTTGCATCTTGCCATCCCCCAGCTCGCAGAGAGTGGACGCAGCACCTTGCGAAAGTGCTGCGCCTGCCACGAAATCGATACTTGACCTTGCGAAAGTGCTGCGCCTGCCACGAAATCTATACTTGACCTTGCGAAAGTGCTGCGCCTGCCACGAAATCTATACTTGACCTTGCGAAAGTGCTGCGCCTGCCACGAAATCTATACTTGACCTTGCGAAAGTGCTGCGCCTGCCACGCAATTCAAACCTTGCGAAACCTTCGCGCGGCCGTGCCAATGGGCCCGTCTCCGAGACCGTTCCGAACCGTTCCGAGACCGTTCCGAGACCGTTCCGAGACCGCCTCCGTACAGGCGTCGCAGCCGAGGTGGTTTGCGCACAGTCCGGAAGCCCAATTCACGCACAGCGCCAACGTTTTCTGCATCTTGCCATCCCCCAGCTCGCAGACAGTGCTTGCGAAAGTGCTGCGCCTGCCACGAAATCTATACTTGAGAAAGCTATCTACGTGTTAAGCTGGCTATATGTCAAAGCTATCTATCTGTCATGCAAGCCTATTGGAAAGCTATCTATCTGTCAAGCTAGCTATATGTCAAAGCTATATATCTGTCATGCAAGCCTATTGGAAAGCTATCTATCTATTCTAGCTATATGTCAAAGCTATCTATTTGTCATGCAAGCCTCTATCTAAAGCTAGCTATATGTCAAAGCTATCTATCTGTCAAGCTAGCTATATGTCAAAGCTATCTATTTGTCATGCTGGCTACCTGTCATAGCTATATGTCAAAGCAGCTAGCTCATTTAGTTCCAGTACTACGGAAGTTTCTTGTTAAACTTCCTTTGATGAAGCGGCTTTAATTTGCCGCCAAGGCTGCAGCCATCGCCATGAACAAGTGCATTCTGATTGTGATGCATGCCCAAGCTGCCTGGAGCTCATGGACTCCGGATAAAGTGACGGATACCAGCTTCTGCGGGCCAAGTTACCGACACAGCACGTGAAGACGCTGAATCCGCACTTGGATCATGCTGCGTTCGATGCTGTGTACTCCACAGAACACACTGCGCACGGCTTAGATGCATGCCTGATCCAGCTTCCCAAAGTGAACCTGGCCGGGGAACGCATCAAAACTAGTGTCCCTCCCCCATCGTCTAGTCTGAAAAGGAAGGGTCAACAAGGTCAGCTATTCAGAGTGAGAGTCTCATTTGGAACTCGCAATGTGTGGATACGAGTATTAACTCAGACATGCCGAGGCCTACAAGTACGCACAGGGCCACTGCCAGGCCTACGTGACACTTGCGGCTGTGCTCTTGTGGCTTGGACTTGTCGAGAGGTCTCCTCCTTTGGCGTGGGAGGAACCAATGGCCATGCTATCTTCTGGGGCGAGAAGGCATCAATGCCACGGAACAACCCGGCGGTTTTTGAGGATCCTTTGCTTGCAACAGGCACAGCCGGATGTGGATTTCCGAAGAGTTTTCCTCAGGACCATGTAGTACAGGATATGGGGGACAATGCTTGAGCACAAGCTGGTTTCTTGCAGGAAAATCATGAAGGCCACTCCGCCTATTGTCACGGAGGGCGCCACTGATCCTGCCCTTTGGGACTACCGTGGGTTGCTCTTCTGATAATGGCCAAATCATTAAATGGCACCGCGGGCTTGAGCAACACCGATACCGAACCCAAGGCTGGACTACAAAGCCACCATGGGTGACAGCTACAAAGTGTGCCTGGAGAAGGTGCATGGCATTGGACCTCAGACGCAGACTCACAAGTGAATGTGCGAGGACCCGCTCACAGGTGAAGAAACTGTAAGCTTTGAGAAGGAGCAGGCGCGTGCTCAAGCTGGACCAACAGACCAACACCGGTAGAATTCCATAGCTCTGTCCGACACCGAGGTCAAAGAAGATCCTGCTGAATTTTACAGCACCACTGGCAACCACAATGACTGGGACGTTGACCGGATGCAGGAAGGAAATGTGTCTGGCCCAGTCATCCTGCAATGAATATGTTGAGCACGTGGATCATGACCTCCATTGCCCTGAGGTGCCAGGCCTGTACTGGCAAGATATTCCAGCCTTGGGCTTAGGGCAAACATGACATGTCCAGATGTTGCAAGCGGAATCTTGAGGTTCCTGAGGGCGGAATGCTGGAATTCCGAATTCTGGCAACTCAGCAGAATCCGTCACAGATTTGTTGGATACGGGCTTGGCCTGTCTTTGTCTCCCTCAAACAAAGGCATTCTCTGTGTCACATACCATGACACTATATTTGATGCATGGTTCAAGTTTGAGGCTTTCTGGCTTTGCTGGCAACAGGATGTGCTGGGAGTTTCAACGAGCAGACGGGGTGCACAGATTTGATTCCCAGATTCAGGAGATGTTGGAGAGGGGTAGCTTGAAGGCGGCAAAGTGTACTTTGGTTAGACTGATACAGAGCTGTTAGCCAGCCCATGTTGTTTAATGCAGTATCATTTGGTCGATGTTTGATTTTATGCCTCACGTCGAGCATCCTTCGTGGTTTGCAATGCCATGAACAATGGAGTCGATGTTTGATTTTCACGTGACGTCAATATCGCCATCGATGAACTGTGCTGCTTTGTGCTATTTCCCAAGTGGGCCGGTTTCGATGAACTGTGCAGACACACCTTGCCAAGCTTCAAAATCTGGTCGCGCGGCGAACTCGCGCGGCGAACAGGTAGATGGGGATGCAGACAAGCTCTGCGCTTACTTTTCGGGAAGAGCTGAAGATGTTGAAATCTATCCTTGTTCATGTATGCTGCGATTTGCCAAGGAACATTGGACCAGAAGACACTACTTCGCCCGGGCTTCAACTGATGCATGATCAGTACCATGGAGATCTGATTTTAATTGCGATGATTCGAATTGCAGATGTTGCTAAGGAAGCCTCTTGCTGCAATCAAGGGCCCTGACAAAGAATTGCACTGCTGCCCAATTTATTGCAAATGACTTTGCTTGCATGGCAAAGTGGCCTCTAGCTCTCAGTGAGGCGCAGGGCGAGCTGTGTCCATGTCAGGCGGACGTCCTGGTTGGTTGAAGGATCTCCTGGCTCCATTCTGCGTGTCCCAGTCTTGGATTCTATAGACCCACCATGTTTGAGCAGTCAGCAGAAGTCTTTTTGCCGAGGTGGAGTTTCTCACCTGCACAAAGGACAGCAACTGAACGAGTCTTTTTTTCATGCGTCCACACCAGCACAATCCTTAGTTGTCACAGAAGTTCAATAAGACAGGTTCGATTGAAGGCAGGAGTGGATTCAAGCTGTTTGCAGCATATTTTCACTTCCCACTATACTCGAATTCTAAGTGTCAGACTGAGACTGTAGGACTTGCACAGCTCTATAAAGCCACGGAGTATCTCTTGGGTCCCGGCACCTTAGCCAGACTTGGCCAGACTCTCGATCCCAATCCTGTGCTTGTTTGTAGCCCAGGTGTCGTAGCGGATGTGAACTCCTGAGAGTGTACGCGTCGCAGCAGATCGATCTTTAACATTTTCAGTCATACGGCTTTGCTTCTTAAGTGCCCTCGATGTCATAGGTTGTTGCAAGGTTGGAGCTGAAACAAAAGACCTAAATTGTGCTTCGGTGTGCAGTGTCACTCAATCTTTTCGTTTGGATAGCTCGAACAACAAACCGTGCACAAAATGCAGTGGCGCTTTCGCAGTACGTGAGTTGCAGAAGCTCAAAGAAACACACAGCGGCTGCAGCTAGTGTCACCATCCCAGTGGAGCCGATGCAGCACATGCCAGCGCAGATGTGGTTCATGGAAAAGCAGATAAATCTCAAGATATTCATACGCACATGCATGTTTTTTTTTAAATAAAGCAGCAAGTTATGTTTGGGTTTGGTTTGCATGTGACACACGCACAAGCACACAGTGTGAGCATTGCGAGTACAGCTTTTGCAAAGCACAGCAGACATCAGGACAGAATGTGGAGGAGCAATATTCATGCACCATGTCGTGGATGGAGCCTGTGCTGAGTTGCGTAGTCTTGCCTCTGAGAGGAAGCAAGACTGGAAGAGGGCACTGAGGTGGAAACAGTCCCAAGATGTTGAACATGAAAGCGAGCAAACTGACCTTGTCATCCGGGAAGAATGGCGTGCTTGGCGCGAGAGAATTTGTTTGTCTGAGATTGATCATTTGCCCGATGGCAACCGAGTGATTCTTCACGCCCTTCTTTGCGACACTTTATCGAGCTATGAGGAAATGCCGCATTTTGTAGCGCTTCCCCGCGAGAGCGATTCGCTTACCCGTCTCAACCAACTGGCCGCAGCTGCCCACGCCGAGATCTTGAAAGTCATCGGGAATGAGAGGCGATCCCAGGCCAGATACCTACCATACCTACCATACCTACCCCTGCTGTTGCAAAACAAGCTGCGGGAGCTGTGCCTTGAGCTACCCGAGGAGCAAGACTGGGATGTGTGGTATGCGGATGCAGAGCGCAGATTTGCGGGAGATGCAACTTGCAAAGAGAGGATTCTGAAGATGAGAGAGCGCAGTGCTGCTGTGGTCATTCAGAAGTCTTTCGCTTGGGCTGTACAGAGGCGCCATTCCAGGTGGCAAGCACAACGTGAGCATGCAGCTGCCACCATCCAACGCGCCTTGCGACTGGTGACATTTCCCAGAGTGAGGTATCTCCGTCGCATGCTGGAGGAAACTCGAAAGGCTTGCCTCCTGACACGTTTGCATCGCAGGCTGAGGCGCCACATTGTTAGGTGGCGCAGCAGGCGTGGCTATGCTGACAGCCACGGCAGCCACGACACCCCTCAAGGTCAAAGGGCAGCGATCCGAATCCAAGCGTTTTGCCGCAGCCGCTGGAGCCGAGGATGGGTTTATTGTTGGGCGCCGCCCTTTCACCGGCCATCCACCCTGTCGGGGCGCAGCAACTCGCCCTTCCCTGCGTTGACGGTTGCCATGGCCCGAGCTTTTGCAGATCTCCGGCAGAGAAAACGACTCAAACAGCGTGACGAGACGTTGCGGAGGGGGTGGGCTCCCGCTTTGCAGGCAGAGTTTCATTTGCTCCACTCCTGGTGCTCGGAGCTGGCGGAGCGTCGGCACCGCCAGGAGTTTGAAGCGCGGAGTGTCAATCGCTTCGAGGTGCAGTGGAAGCGGTATGCCGATGGCTTGGAACAGTATGCGCGTTCGCAGGTTTCTGAGCGAAAGCAGCGCGACCACTGGGTTGCCACCGTGAGTGACGGAAAAGCAGTGTGGCTGAACGAACGGACGGGCCAGATCCGCAGCAATGATCCTGTGGAGAGCCGTGTTAGAGGCACCCTGGCTCGAGAGAGGAAGAAAGCCGAGGGTCGGCTGGAGGAGCACATCGGCGTGTTGCGCACAGCTTGGATGCAGGAGGATGAAGCTGCTGCATCTCTGACAGCAGCTGGTTACGAGGAATTGCAGATGATATGCCGAAGTTCAGCCGCAGCAGCGCCTGCAAAACTTTCTTTTGTTGGGTAGTGCCATTCTGTCGTGAGGTTTGCGGTTTCTTGGCATTTCCCACAATGCATGAGTTTGCTTGGCAAGTGCAGTGAAGACCTTGGGCTCAAAAGCTAGGAACTACAATATGCGTGCAGCAATTCCCAATGCAGGTCTGCAGGTCAGCAAAGACTCAGTTCGTGCCATCCTTGTCGACTACTCGAACGGACGGAGGAAGCCAAAGCCGGCTGCAGATGGAGCACACTGCGCACGATGTTGACCAAGCGAATCACCAGCCAGCGTGGAAGCTGTTTGCTGGAACGTCAGAAAGGTCAAGAGCATAACTGCAGCATAACCAGAAGATTATTCAGTGTGCTCCAGAAGGCAGACAAAGTCATGGGGACCTTATTGAACAAAAGCTTTGATGTATTGATTTTGTGCGGAGAACTGTGCCATGGATCCATGCAGCAGCTCGTGCTGTACAAGCAAGGGCGAGGAGAAACATGCCAAATAGTACGTTCTGAAGCAACTTGCGCACAGTAAGATGTTTGATTCCCCCAGTGCCGATGTTACATTCAGTTTGCTTTAAAACAGAGGTCTCGGGTCAGACAAGTTTTGGGTTTTTTGACGTGCCCGCGTTTGCCAGGAGTCTGGACTGAAGGCGGTTCAGAGCAGCTCCCTGTTTTTCAACTTGCGTGGTCCTAACCGTTTGACCTGCCAAGTTGAGCTCGGCATATGCCCCATGACACGTTTCGCTTCAGATTTATTGCCTGAGGCCAGATGCAAATCAGGTATTCGATGCGACAAAGACTCCTGAGGTAGGGGCTCATTCTTTGATTTGTGTTTGTCATATTGCAACCTTGGCAGGGACCTCATGAGCGAGGTCCCGTAGAACTTGAAAATCGCATTGCTCCGATCTGAGCGGAACTTTCCCAATCTGCCAGCCTTGCAGCATTTGCTTGCAAAGGTGTACACTGGCCAATGGCTTGGGACACGGCGGCATGGAGAAGGTATGTTGCTGAGGCGCGACATATGAATTCTGACGTGTTTTTTGCTTTTAATATGGCAGGCCCGACGGTGGTAGATACGAGGGCCAGTTTGTGAACGACCGAGCTTGCGGCCTGCTGCTCATTGTGCTTGAGGCTCACTCATGCAATGTCATTAATTTGAGGTAGAGGGAGATTTGTCCATGCCAACGGCGACGTCTACGAGGGGCAGTGGCTGGATGATAAGGCAGATGCTTTTCAGCTTGACAGCTTGAGATGACGCCAGATCTTGATTCCCCTCAAATCTTGCACTGCCAGGCCCATGGCTCTGGGAAGTTTCTGCACTCAGATGGCGCCGCCCTCACCTAGTGCTTTGGCAGCTTCAGTTTTGGTTTGACTAGGCTCATCATACATTGGCGACTGGGTGGAGGACTGGGCCAATGCGCTCAATGCGCTTAATCCCAGCTTTCCACTTGCTTCATGCCAAGTCATGCCTTCCTCAGGACATGAAGTCTGGTCAAGGTCTTGAGACCTGGGCGGATGGCTCGACCTTCAAGGGCGAGTACAGGCCGTCTCATCGTTTTGTGGCATGACATCTGCGGCATTTGTGAGTGAGTGCAGGGATGGAAAGAAGCATGGCCATGGTGTCTTTACTTCGTCGGACAACTCGCTGGCTCCCCAGCGCGAGTCTTTGCAGTGCATGCGAGATGCGCACGCCCAGGTCATACTCTGGTCAATTTGTGAATGACAGCATGCACGGCGAGGCCGAGCATAGAGTGAAATCAGCGACTCTGTGTGTCAATGGTCGAGCAGCTGTGCTATTTTGAGGGAACATACACGTTCTCTGATGGCCGCAGCTGCCTCAGGGTGTGTGGGTGCAATGGCGGTTTCTTGCCTTGTTTGCTCAAGTGCGGAATCCTACGCCTGGTGTACTTAGGCGTATATGTCGGGATGTGGAAAGACAGTCAAATGCCACCTGCCTCAACTCGACAGACCTCAATGCATATACTTGTTGCTCCATTGATACCAATAAGGACAGGGCAGGGGACAATGCAATGGCCAGATGGCAGGGCACCTGGCTAGATTGCCACACTTTGTGAACACGCCCTTCTCGCCCTTCTCACCAAGGCAGATGGTACGAAGGTGGCTACCTTGGTGACAGAAAGTCGGGCGAAGGCAAGTTCTGCTGGCCAGATGGTGTGAGCCTTGGCACTCTTGTGCAAGGCTTTGAAGCTTTGTTGCTCATATATTCCCCTTACAGCCAGGGAAGGAACACGTGATACTGAGTTTTTGCAACACAAGTCTCAAACATAGTGGCCAAAGGGCCATAGTCAGCAGTTTTCCTTTTGCACCTAGATTCTCACCGCGTACAATCTAGTTTTGACTCAGCGACTTCCAATGAGCAGGTTCAAGAGAGCTACTGTCAGGCCTTTGAAGGTCTTGCCGCAACTCACCTAGTTGTGTGACTCTCCGTGCGCGCTCAATCAGGTCGATGCTATGTCGGGCAGTGGCTCGAAGGAAAGCAGCATGGCACAGGTACCTTGCTTGCAACTCGTCTTACCTTGCAGTACGTTGAAAGTCCTTTCAACTGGGAGCTGCATGAGCACCAGGCCGCTACATCGATGCCAAGGGCGTCTCCAGAGAAGGACTTTGGAAGGCTGTGCCATGCCAAGGGAGGAATGGGCTAGCACGCAGAATCAACCAGCCTTGCACATTCTGAAGTCTCCGACCTATTTGAACACTCAGAGATTCCTTGCTTTCCTGGCACTTATGGCTTGTTTTTGCTTGTCCGGCTCACCAGGCGGGCACCCGCTTGAGATGGATCGATACGGACGATGCTTCATAGTGTCGGGCCGGTGCAGGGTGCCACGCTTTCTAGCTGCCAAGATCGGACAGTGCGTGGCACACGTGCGCACACAACCCGAACCCTGAAGGTTTCACTTGATTAGTAAGTCTCCGTATGAGCGCGTACACATGGCTCTGCCGGAGGTAGGTACATGGGGTGATCAATGTCATCACACGCCTCCATGAAGTACATGGAAGCATTGAACGGGGGAAAGGTGCGCAGAGCTTGTGCAATTGGAATTTCACGAAAGACTGCAACACATTTTGGCCGGGAATGCGGCCAAGGCCACTCCGCTCTGTTTGGGTCAATTCTACCACAGCACATTTGGTTCACTGGTGCGATCGCGAGTTTGCGAACGTCTTAGCTTGCTGGAACTGTCCCGACTTGCACTTCACTTGAGATCTAGTGTCGTGCCTAAATCTGCATGGAGCTAATTCTGGCTGGCAGCCCCAAGGACTGACGGCAATGACTTTCAGTTTCCGCTGTTGTTGCTTGTGGCCCCTGAAGAAATTTGGTCGAAGGATGGAACCCCTTTTCGCAGCGAAGCAGAGATTCAAAATGCTCAGCAGCCCAAGCTTGAGTCTTTCCTGCGGAGGCCCTTTACTCTCCAATTTCGTGCCACCCCCCCTCATTCCATCAACCACATCCCGAGCTTAATGATCGCCTGTTGTCAATACGAGTATTGGCTTTTGCTCGCAGATGCTCATGCCTTGGCATGCATGCGCACCTGAAACTAAGTTGGTAGGTGTCATGTACTTGAGGAATGCGCAGACGTTATTTGAGGAATGCGCAGCAGGAAACACTGAACATGTTTGAGAGATTGTTGGCCCCGCGACCGTTCCTGTTCCATATTCGGTGTCATTGACGATTTGCTCAAAAGACCTCCCCGGAGGCCGGGCCAACCAAAGCAACAAACCACAAAACAAAAATGGTCCGAGAGCAAAACAAGTACAAGAAAAAAGCGGGGGGACCGACCTGGACAACAACTAACAACGGTCAAGCGTCCCTTCCAGCTTGACGAACTGGCTGGCGCCTGTACAGTGTGCCTTTTGGACGTCTCGCGTGGACCCTCTTGTCGGCACCCAGCTGCAGATGCCACCTTCCCTTGTGGGGCAGGGCACAGCTTGCGGTCGACACCACCCTTGTGTCAGCGTTGGACTCAGCTGGCCGTGGGATTGTTTCCACCGTCATTGCATTTGTTACCCTTACTTGCAGCGGGGGGGTGCATGCGTGTCCTGTTGCACTTCAATGGCCAGCGCGGAGGTCTCTCTGTGACAGCGCGGGATCCGCCCTCTTGGAGCTTGGCGCCCTGTGCCATCGCCTTCCCCAGACCGTCGGCGCCGTCGCGGCGGCAAGCGTTGGCGCAAGGGGGCCAAGCGTTCGCGTCGTGGACCCGGCGCCGGCCCCGGAGCTCCCGTTACTGCGCGTGCTGTCACTACGGGACGGAACCCGCGGAAGCCAGAAAATGATCATGAATATTGTCGTGCCGGCAGCGCACAAACACATGGGATAGCCTAAGCGAGCTGGCCGCACGCCAGAAAAGAAGTACAGGGGATAGAAACCGCGGTGAAGCTGGAATACAACACAAGTAAACTGCCGAACGTCAGACCAATGAAACTAGACGGGGAGCGAGCCCGCAGTACGCCAGAAGAAACACTGTACGCGCTTGGTTGAAGGAGGCTACATCCCTGCTTCGTCGCAGGAGGCTCTTCTGCAATTGTTCCTCCCGACGCCCAATACCAGCCACCGCGCCGGCTAGGCAATCCCTGGCCGGACAAGGCGACACCAAGGTGGTGTCGACGGCGAGCTGTTGGCCACTCCAAAGCGGCAGGCCGTTGGCAGCGACTTCAAGCACGCCTGTCATCAATTCGGCCAACTTGCAAGTTCGATGGCGGGCATGTGTGTGGGCGGGGGGACGGCACTGAGCAGGCCGCGTGGGGGCCGGGACTTGAGGATTGATCTTGCGCAGCCGAAGCACGCCCCGCAAGTCCAGGGGCAGGATGGCAACTTCCGCAGGAGTCTGTGGAAAGTCCAAGGGCCCCTCGCCCAAGCACCCGTTAGGCTCGCAGCGAAAACTGCCCGGCCTGCCCTGGACAACGAAGCAGGCCCCGAGCGGCTTTTCAGCTGTTGTTGCTCCTGCAATCGACTTGGGTCGATTGGTTGCCTTGTGCAGGCCGTCCGGGCGCTTCCAGGAATAGTCGTCAGTTGTTGTTTTTGTTTCTCTCCAGCTTGCCTGCACCCTCGCCCAGCAGCACGCCGCTGCCTTCCAGGAAACCTCTCACCCGCACAAGTTTGTTTCGCCTACTTGGGCGGGGGCTGACTCGTCGGCCTATGCCTTAGCTGCAGCTGCGGTGCTGGACCCGGCGGCGACCGTTTTGTGTTTTTTTCTCCTTGCGCGCCTTTTACCGTCCAGCCGGGGTGAGACGGGACCTACGGCAAACCCTGCAAACAGCCTGGCGTCAAGAGGCTAGCCAGCCAGCCCGAGGACATCGGCGCGCTCTGGGGAAGGCCACCGCCCGCCAAGCAAAGAGGAGGCCAGGGCGCGCTGCGTACCGGCGCTGAGCGCCCGGCGAAAGGAGGCGCGCAAAGCGACCGAAGACGCACCAAGCAGCAGATCACACTGCGCACCTCGGAGCCCCACCGCCCCCCAGTCTCACGAGCAACAGCCACCAGCCGCTGGGGCCGCAATGGCCGCGCCATCCTCGTCCGCAGCGCGCGGCTGCGGGCGGCCCACGTGCCGAAGCGGAAAAACGAGCGTTATTGGTTGATGTGGTTGAGGCCTTCCAAATATCGTTTTTCGGCGAGCCATGCTGGAAGCTCTGCTGTGCTTCCCTTTGTGCGACAGTTGTACGCTTCGCCTTCAAAGGTCGCGCGACGCAACTGGTCAGCAACACACCGTCACCCAAGCCGAGGGTGGAGAACAAGGCGACCCGCTCATGTGACAGCGGGCCGCGTTGGAGCCCGGCTGGCGACGCGCGTCCGCCTCAACGCCGGCAAAGCCACGGTCTGGAACGCAACCGGGCATGAGCCGCCTGGCGTGTCCGAGCTCGCCTCCGGTCCTGATCTCGTATTTGTTGGCTCGCGGTTTTTGGCCCTCCTCCCCTTCCAAGCTTGGTGGGGCCCGGTGTCGCTTGCATGGGTCGCATCTCGAGCCCCACAAAGTGATCTAGTTGAGTTTCCCGCTGTCGGAGTTGCGAAGCGCGAGAGACTGGTCAGCTGCCTTCCTGTTTCCTCATCAGGCCACGGCATTCAAAGGGCAGCATGCGCTAGTCGTGGAGCGTTGACTCGGTTTTCTGCCCACGAACAACTTTCCAGTCATCCATATTTGTGATTCATCATGCTGCTCTGCTGCTTGGTTTGCGCGGGCTGGCTTTTTCGAGGCTGCCGGCCAGTATAAAAGCAGCCCTGTACTTAGACCTCCCCGCGGAGGCTGGGCTGAAAACAAAACGGGGGAAACAACCACACGCCGAGGGAAAAAACCAGGGACAACAAAAAAAATAAATCATAAAATCCCTTCCCAAGCGAGTGGGGAGGTGACTCCGGGTCGAGCCGCCTGCCTTGACCCGGTTGTTTCGGAAGGGTCGGACCTGCATGCCGTTGCCCCGGTGTGCGGGCATGTATGTTTGGCACGTTCCCGGGCCCATGTGCAGCGCATGCGATGTGCCCTGTGCAGACAAGGCTGGCCGCCAGCATTTGATGCTGACGTTGGAGTTAGCGGTCTGCTGCTCAATCTGTCTCAGCGTATTGGGCATCTTGGGCGGGTTGTTTGCCTGTCCTTCGTCAGCACTTGCCGCATGCGGCGGACCCTGCCCCCTTCGCTGTCGGCAGGTTACGCCAGGGACCACGATGCCGCCATCTGGCGCACGCTGCAGCAGCTTCTGGGGTCGCCTGGCGACGACGAGGCTGAGCGGGGCCGGGCACGCCAACTGGCCTTCCTCCCCGCACGGCTCGGCGGCCTTGGCTTGTCCAGCGCGTAACGTTTGCGACCGGCGGCGTGATGCCTCCGTGTACGTGAGCTGCTTTTCGAAGAGGACGCTGCCGGCCCCGCGTTGCGCGAGGCTGCGGCTGCGGCGCGCAGTTTAGAGGCTGCCGGCTGGGAGGCCCGGCCTGCTGGGCCCGCCCTTTTCGCCGCACCTGATCTGCCGCGCGATTCTGAGATTATAGAGCCAAGCGACCTGCCGCGAGGTTGGCAAAGGCACGCTGCTTCCGCACTCAACCTATCTTACAGGGAGCGCAGGCAGGCGCATGGCTTGCAGCAGTCCCGTGCGATCCGGGCACGACGCTTTCGCCTGAACACATGCACCTCGCTTTGCGGCGCTTGAGGTTGCCACTGTCCCTGACGCAGCGACGTTCTGGCGGCGATGGCCAGCCGGGCTGCGGACGCGAGGGCGATGTGTTGGGCGACCATCGGGTCTCCTGCCCTCGTTCCGGCTTGCTTGCCCGTCGCGCCTGGGCCGTTGAGCAAGCGTGGGTGCGAGTTGCGCGCGAGGCTGTCGGCCCAGAGGGCCGCGTCGTAGCAGTGGCTATCCCGGACCACTGCGCCTGGTGTGTCACCCGACGACCGTCGCCGGCTTGACTTGGTAGTTCACGGGGCCACGGAGCGGGGAAAAACCCTGTGTTGCGATGCCACGCTCGCCAGCCCTGTCCGCAGTGATGGCCGGCCACACGCCGGCGCGCGAGGGCGTCGCGCTGTCCACAGCTGAGCGGCGGAAGCGCACGCGGTACCCTGAGCTGGGCCAGCCTGGCCCGCAGTGCTTGGTCGTCCTCGCGGCTGAGGTCGGTGGCCATTGGCATGCTGCTGCCGCGGCCTGTGTCCGACAGCTTGCCCGCGTGCGCGCCAGGCGGGCTCCACCCGCGGTGCGGCGGGTCGCTCGCGCCGGCTGGGGTCGGCGCTTGGTGGGGCACGCTGGCCGTTGCGGTGCAGCGCGCGGTTTGCAGCACCGTTCTCGGCCGCTGGACGTCGCCGCCTCTGCCTGCTGGAGGGGAAGGGCCCCTGCGCGGGTGATGGTGCCTGTCGCGGCCCCCCCTCCGCTTGTGAGGGCGTGTCGGCGGGGCGCCCTGCTCGTCGTTTCGCCCAGCCGTGTCACAGCTCGTCGCGCCGTACGGGGGGAGAAACACAAAAAATCCGCTGCCTCCGTGCTCCAGCCCCGGCCTCGACACCGAAGACGCCGAGGCGGCATCGGGCGCTGCCAACACAGTTCGGGGTAGGTGTATTCCTTGCGACGCCGGGCCTCCTGCAAGGCAATGGGCCGGGCAGGGTTTCGCAAGGAACCAGCCACGCCACGCGACGGGCTGCGGGTGGCAACACCGGCAGGTCCGCTCGGACAAAGGCAAAGGTCGTTGAGGTAGGCCAACAGGAGCTCGTCTGGCCGGAGATGGCGCTGCACGTCAACCGCATCCAGACGCGACAGAGCAGTGCGAAGCTGGGAATCGGGGAGGTGGCTGGGTCGCAAAGGCGGAGCGTCCGGCCGTGCAGCGCTGCCGGTTGCGCGGCCAGCGCGCCGGGGTGCCGGGGAAGGGTAGCCGCCAAGGTGCGGGGGTTACATCCCTGCTTCTGCTCGGGACCGGAGCCAGCAAGCAGAAACAATAGGGTGTGTGGACCATTGGTGCCACTGAGGGCCTCAAAGCCCTGCCAAGCGAGCAGGGCCACGGTTGCCTTGAGCGTGTCCAGGACACGGCAACAAGGCGCCTCCGGCTCGAGTTGGCGTACAATATGTTGTGCGAGGCTGACAAGCTGTCAGCCCACGAGGCCCAAAACGCCGCAGGTGCATTCAACCGGGCTGAACGCACCCCAGTCCACCATGGCGGAAACCAAGTTGGGACTGCCAAATGGCCGTGTCCGGGAGCCCCCCCCCATCCTCACCAAACAGCATTGCACTGAAACATCTCTGCGCTGCGGCATCGTGCTCTATGGCAAAAAGATCGGTGAGTGCTGGGGGTATGATACGAAGTGCATACTTGGACCGTGGCGACGCGCAGCCAGCAACAGCAGCCATTCGCCTGCAGGTCAGGAAGGGTCGGGAGGACCTGCAGCTGGGCTCGCACGAGCATGCGCCAAAGAAGCTCCTAGAACGGTAATCCCTTGCTCCGCCTCGGGGAGCGGAGCGTTGCCACGCCACACATCTGCTGCACTTATGTCCGCCAGGCCTGGCGGCTGCGTTCCGCACACGTGTTTTTGAGTGATTAAGGGAAATGCGGGCACATTCATACAGGCACCGGGACGCAGCCTGCGCGCGCGACGCAAGGTCAAGGTCTGAAAACAGCGTATCGCGCGCCGCCTCGTCGGTCAGCGAGGTGGCCTCTTTTTGCCAGCCGCGGAGGAAGTCTCCGGGCTCACCAGGCCCTTGGCCCGGCGCCGCTCCATCCCATAGCCCTTGCCACGTGGGCCTGTGGAAGCCCGGTGGCAGCGTAGATGCCGCCTGGACGGCCTGGGCCACGCACGGCAGCCCACCACCCCCCTCGTTCAGCGCAGCGAGGAGGTCCGCCCCAAGCGCCGGCAGACGTGCCCGGAGGACCGGGAGGCAGTCGGCTTGCGAGCGGCGCGCCGCGAGCGCTTTGCGGCGCATTGGGCGTCCTGGGCCGACTGGGTCCTCCGGGCACGTCTGCCGGCGCTTGGGGCGGACGCCAGAGAGCTTGGATCCCGTGGTCACGGCCTTCCTGGAGGGGGTGGTTGGGCTGGTCCGCGGCCTGGCTGAGGCCCACGCGGAGCCGGAGGACTGCGAGGAGCCGCCCGTCCACCGGCCCCGCAGCAGGACCGCGGCCGCAGCAGAGGCCGCAGCCGGGGCCGGAGCCGCACCCGCGGCCGCAGCCGCAGCCGCAGCCGCAGCCTGGGGCGCCCTTTTTGCATCCACCGAGCAAGCGTCACGGCCGCGAATAGCAGCCGTCCGGCCGCTCGAGGCAGCCAATTGCTAAAAAACACGACCCTACGGTCTCGCCTTCGCGCGCAAGCTGTAGGGCTGGTTGAAGCTTGGGCCTCCTCAGCGGCGCCCCTCCGCTGCCAGGATCGCCTCAGCAGCCTGGACCAGCTGCCGCTGGAGCTGCGGGCCAGAACGTCCACCGCGTTTGCCTCAGACACATCAAAGCACACGGTTGAGCCTGTGTTTAAACGGCGTGGTGTTTAGTTTCGCTCTGTTTGCCCCCCAGTCCGCGTAGCGGATCTCCTATGGCCGACGTACCCTTGTGGTTGGGAGCAGCGGCAGGATGGCTGGCGCCTGGGTGGTCGGCCTTGTTCAATGCTGCCTCCTCGGCTTTTGCCTTCACTGCGTCCTTGCCCGCGACGTGCCGGCAAAGTGTGGCCCATGCTTTGCTGGCGTGCTCGGGGGAGGCCCCGGTGTACTTCACCACCGGGTTTGGCCCCCTGAGCTTGGCATGGGGCTGGGCTTGCGTCGGGGGCGCGGCCGGGCTGCTGCTGGGCGTGGCTCTGGGCATTTTCGCGGCCCACGGATGGCGGCACAGGGTGCTGCAGGCCCGTTGGTTAGCGACCTTGCCTCTGGAGGAGCAGGGCTTTTGCTCCGACGCTCAGGCTGCCATGGAGGCTGCGGCCGCCGTCTTGGAAAGCTTCCGGCTCGGCGGCGCACAGGAGGTTCGCACAATCGCACGCGGTGCGGGGTGCTCTTCCGAAACGCTGCTTTGCCAACTCTTACGGCAAGCGCTGGCAGGGGCGGCGGCGGCACAGACGCTGGCAGGGCCGGCGCCGGCGGGTCAGCTGCTGCCCGCCCAGCCGCCGGACGTCGGAGGGGCGAGGCACCGCGGGGGAGGCCGTCGTTCGAGCCGCAACGCGGCGTGACCGCAGGAGGGGCTGCGGTGCTAAGCGGCCCTCAGGCTGCCGTCCTGCGCCGCTGCGGAGGGTACCTTGTTGCTCGGGGCGTCATCGCGCGACGGTGCGGCGGCCGTGAGGCTGCTGACGGCGTGAGTTTCTGGTCGTCGCGCGTGCGAATGACATGCGTCCCTGAGGCGGGCTGCCGAGCTGGAGCGGCCAAGGCGTGGCGCGGCCGGCCCGTGCCTGCACAAACCCGGAATTGTCGGGCTGCCCCCTCGCGCCATGGGTTTTCCGAGGCTGCTGAAAAAGGAAGGGGTTCGCCGGGTACCCTGTTGCCCTCTGGTTCGGTCCCCTTTTGTTCCCTTTTGAATGTACCCGTGCTGACTCGTGTTTGGCTCAGCTTACGCCGGCCTGTAACCCCTGTCTGGCTAGGACCCACATGGCGTGCTCAGCGTGCCGCTTGCGTGACGTGGCGACTGGGCCACACTGCCGAGCATGCCGGGCACTCATCGACCTGCAGCGGCTGGTGCAGGGGCCAAGCTTGCCAGAGAGCTTGGATCCCGTGGTCACGGCCTTCCTGGAGGGGGCGGTTGGGCTGGTCCGCGGCCTGGCTGAGGCCCACGCGGAGCCGGAGGACTACGAGGAGCCGCCCCGTCCACCGGCCCCGCAGCAGGACCGCGGCCGCAGCAGAGACCGCAGCCGGGGCCGGAGCCGCACCCGCGGCCGCAGCCGCAGCCGCAGCCGCAGCCTGGGGCGCCAAGGAGGTAAGGGACCGAGTCCCGGCAACCACAAGGGCAAGGGCAAGGGCAAGAACAAGGGCAAACGCGGTGGACGTTCTGGCCCGCAGCTCCAGCGGCAGCTGGTCCAGGCTGCTGAGGCGATCCTGGCAGCGGAGGGGCGCCGCTGAGGAGGCCCAAGCTTCAACCAGCCCTACAGCTTGCGCGCGAAGGCGAGACCGTAGGGTCGTGTTTTTTAGCAATTGGCTGCCTCGAGCGGCCGGACGGCTGCTATTCGCGGCCGTGACGCTTGCTCGGTGGATGCAAAAAGCGCGCAGGGAGGGGGGTCGGGTGTGTTGGGGCTGGGGATTGGGGGCGGCTGCGGCACTTTTTGCCCGACGTGTGCGTGCGCATTGCGGCCCCTGGGCGGGCTGCCGAGTCGGAGAGGCCAAAAACCCGGGGCCCGGGGAGGCCGATCAGTTGGTGACGCAGCGTGCGTTTGCGGCGGCCGCCCTGTCCAGGGCGGGCATATCAGTGCCCGGACCCGCCGGCCCGATGGGCTGGCGCACGCCCAGCCTTTGGAGTGATGCCTCAGGCGATGTTCCCGCGCTCGGGGGTGGCGCAGGCGCCACAGTGAGCCTGCCCTCGTCTGAAGCGCCCCGATGAGACGCCCCGCGTTGACGAGCCCGAGGGGCCGATTGGTGGAGAGGCCGCCCCGGGCCAGCCTGGCGCCGTGACGCCGGGCTACGCGCCCGCCTCTCCCCCACGCTCCTTTAGCCCGCCCCGCCCCGCCTCTTGGTGGACACGCGGGCCTCCGTCGGGCGCTGTTTCCACTCGGGGCAATTCCTGGTTGTACGTGCCCTTGCTCCACGCCGCCGCCGGCACCTTGGCCCGCACTGCTTTTGAGGAGTGGACGCAGCAGACAACGTGGCCGGGGTGGCTGCCCATGGTGCAACACTTGCAGGAGGCGGCCCCAGCAGATGTAGACGCCGTCCGTCTCGTGCTGCGGGGGCTGGGGGCGCATCAGGCGGCCGAGCGGCTACCGGACACAACCAGTCGCGCCGTGTCCTTGCCGCTTGCGGCCATCGCTTCTTCCCTCGTCGAAGCTGATGGGTACTTCCACGCGGCGGTGCAAGAGACGCTGGTTGAGGCCTTTGCTGGCCAGGAGGCGGCGGCGCAGCTCCTGCGCTCCGCAGACGCCTTCCGCCTAGTCTCTGCCACGCGACCGGAACTTCACCCGAGTGTGGAGGCAACGCCGGAGTTGGAGCCAGGCGAAGGCAGCTTGCCCACACGGCGCGTGCAACAGGGTCGGCGAAGGGGTGCCAGGGGCGGCGCCCGCAACCAGGTGGATGTGGCCGAGGCGGCAATGCAGCGAGGACTGGACGCCTTGAACGACATCGACCTTGCTGCTGTACTCCGCGTCCGCACGTTGACGCTGCAGGGGGTCCCGGGCTGGCTGCGCGGCCTCCTCGCTTTCGCGTTGCGCGCCGGCCTTAGGCTGATCCGGGATGCGCCGGGGGACGCACGCGCGCAGGAAACAGCGGGGTGGAAGTTGTTCATGCTTGCTCCGAGGATGCTGCTGTCCCGGGCGCGCGGCCAAGCACGGATCGCCCCTGCGGACCTGGAACAGAGGGTGCGTTTGTTCAAGGCGGGCGAGTGGGCCCAGTTGCTGCAACCGGCGCAAGCCCCGGCTGGGGTCACATCCGGCCGACCCCCGCCCGACTCGCTTGAAGCGAGGGGTGAGCGGGCTGCGGCCCTGGCTCACTTGGGCGAACTCTCGGCTGCAGCTCGGGCGCTGACGGCGGAGCCGCTGGCGTCAGGCAATGAGGAGACGCTGCAGGAGCTCCGGGACCCCGCCCGCAGACCGCAAGTCCCGCGAGTGCCGGTCCCTGAAGCCGTCCTCCAACACCAGCCAAGCGAGCCAGTGCGGCTGTCGTGGGGCGCCTTCGTCAGCAACGTGCGCCGTGCGCGCCGCGGCGCGGCCCCTGGACCGAGGGGCTGCACCAATGAGCATCTGCGCTTGCTTTTGGAGACGGAAGAGGACATGCAGCTGCTCCACCATGCGGCGCAAAGACTCGCGCTGGGGGACGTTCCCGACACCATCGCCCGGGCGCTTCGCCTGGGCCGCATGGTGGCGCTGCGCAAGCCGAACGGTCGAGTCCGCGGCCTGGTGATGGGGGACACCTTCCGCCGACTCGTGGCCCGGACGCTGGCGCAGCAGTTTTCCGCCGCCTTCGACACAGCTTGCCGGCCCTTCCAGTTCGCCCTCGGGACTCGGGCCGGAACGGAGGCTGCTGCCCGAGCCGTCCGCGCCCTGTGTGAAAGGGATCCGCGCGCGACGGTGGTCAGCATCGACGGTGTCGGGGCGTATGACCACGTCCACCGGGCAAGTATGTTGGGGGGCCTCGCGGGTGACACTGCGCTCGCCCCGTTGCTCCCCTTCGCCCGCCTCTTCTACGCGGAGCACAGCACGTACCTCTGGTATGACGCTGCGGGCGTGGCGCACGACATCGCCCAGGCGGAAGGGGGCGAACAAGGAGACCCGCTGATGCCAGCTCTCTACGCGCTCGGGCAGCATCCGGCGCTGGTGGCGGCTGCCGCCACATTGCTCCCCGGAGAGACCGTCTTCGCTTACCTCGATGACGTCTACGCTGTGTGTCAGCCAGAACGGGTACACGCGGTTGCCAACGTTGCCCGAGTGGTTTTGCAGGAGCATGCGGGCATAGAGGTGCACCTCGGCAAGACGCGCGTCTGGAATGCGGCTGGCGAGGAGCCGGCTGGCGTGCATGCACTGCAGGGGCCGGGCGGGGCCGACCTGTGGGTTGGCGCCTGGACGCTCCCGCCTGAGCGGCGCGGCCTGGTTGTTCTGGGCACTCCGGTGGGCCATGCCGCCTTCGTCCAGGCCCATTTGCGCCAAAAACGCGCGGAGCAACAACAGCTGCTCGACCGCATCCCCTGTGTGCCGGACTTGCAGGCGGCGTGGCTGGTGCTCCTCTACTGCGCGCGGCCGCGGTGCAATTACTTGCTGAGAGCATTGCCCCCGGCTGACACAGCTGCGTATGCTGCGGGCCACGACGACGCCCTCGCCGCTTGCTTGAGCTGCTTGCTCGCCGGGGATGGGCCTGGTGGCCGCCCGGCGCTGGAGGGTGCCGAGTTGGGCGAGCTACAGCTGCGGCGAGCGCAGTTGCCTCTGGTGCATGGCGGCCTTGGCTTGCGAGCGGCGCACCGCGAGCGCTTTGCGGCGCATTGGGCGTCCTGGGCCGACTGCCTCCCGGTCCTCCGGGCACGCCTGCCGGCGCTTGGGGCGGACCTCCTCGCTGCGCTGAACGAGGGGGGTGGTGGGCTGCCGTGCGTGGCCCAGGCCGTCCAGGCGGCATCTACGCTGCCACCGGGCTTCCACAGGCCCACGTGGCAAGGGCTATGGGATGGAGCGGCGCCGGGCCAAGGGCCTGGTGAGCCCAGAGACTTCCTCCGCGGCTGGCAAAAAGAGGCCACCTCGCTGACCGACGAGGCGGCGCGCGATACGCTGTTTTCAGACCTTGACCTTGCGTCGCGCGCGCTGCTGTTGTCGCAGGCGGGGCCACAGGCGGGGAGAGCCTTGCATGTTCTGCCAACCGCCGCGGAGCTTCGGCTGCCGAGCGACCTGTTCCGCATTGTCCTGCTTCGCCGCCTCCGCATGCCACTGCCCGCAGCTGCCCGCGCCTGCCACTGCGGGCGCCCCGCAGATGCTTTGGGGGACCATGTCACTGCTTGCCCAACGTCTGGTGTGCTGCGGACAAGGGCTGTCCCCCTGGAGCGGGCGGTCGCGCGCGTCTGCCGCGAAGCGGGGGGGCGGGTGGCCATGCACGTCCGCGTGGCTGAGATGAACGTTGATGTCCCGGTGTCCGATGCCCGGTGGCCATCGACACCACGTTCGTGAGCCCGATCGGGAGGGACGGCCAGCCCAGGGGCCGCAGCGCCAGAGAAGCCGGGGGGGTGCTGGAGCAGGCGGCCCGGCGTAAGCGGGAGACAACTTACCCGGAGCTGCTTGCTGCGCGGCGGTGCCGCCTCGTTGTCTTCGGCGTCGAGGTTGGTGGCAGGTGGAACGGCGAGGCGAGGGAGTTCTGGCGTGCTCGCATCTTTTGGGCAATCGTCACTGCCGCGTGTAGCAAGGGAATGTAAGAACAGGTGCTGCGGTCGGGGAGTTACGCTGTGCCAGTGCGGTGGCTCTGCCGTGGGAGTGAAGCCTGGTGTGGCGACGTCTGGCGCAGTGGGCGCCACGTGTCCTGGCTGCGCGCGGTGACGCAATAAGGCGTTGTAGGACTTGAAAGTGTCGGAGATTGGTGGGCGCTGGAGCGATGATGCCCTGGGACTCTTTGCGGGCCATCGCTGCCGCACGCAAGCCTGCGGTTCAAGGTTGGCAACAGCGCTGGTGGCGCAGTGCGGTGCAGCAGTCCGTTTGGATTTTTGCTCACACACCTTTTGGCGCCTGCAATCTCAGATCGTCGGTGCTTAAGGGGCCCTTGCAGTAAGGCCCCCATGACACTCTAGGCCAACCCCACCGTGTGTTGCAAGCAGAAGGCGGGGAGCAAGGCGACCCGCTAATGCCAGCATTGTTCGCACTCGCCATGCATCAAGCGCTTGTCGCCCTGCAGCCGGAGCTCCTTGCCTTTTTGGATGACTTGCACCTGACGGCGCAGCCTGAGCGCATACAGCCGCTGTATTTTTTTTGTTTTGTTTTTTTTTCCGCTCCTTTTTCCGTGCAGCGAGGGTGAGACATTTTGTTTTTCGTGCAAGCAGGGTGAAGCGCTTTCGGCGACAAGGGCGGAGGAGCCTTCCCCGCCGTCGTGCCGCCACGGCCCGGGGCCCATCAGCCGGCCCGCAGCGGCAGCCGGCTGGCTTCCTCAGCCTCGCCGAGGCGTGCGGCCGCCAGCACCTCGGGCCAGGGCGGCGCGGTGCCATCCAAGGCGTCCAGGCCCGCTCCTGGCAGGCCAGCCAGAGTGGCAGCCAGCGCCCTCTGCGCCGCAACGGCAATAATGCCGGACCAGCGCTGGTGGAAGGCCTGCACAGCCGAGGCCCGCAGCCACTGAGGCCGCTCCCTCGCCTTGGCACGGGCTAGGGCGCGCAGCAACTCGGCGACGGACAGCTAAGCCGCAAAGGGCAGGAACGCCGACCAGCAAGCAGCAAACGCAGCAGCCGTGGCGGAGCGGAAAGGATTGCGTCAATCAAGGGCCTCCGGTGGACCCGCAGCTCTTGTCCAGAATGGTGCACCAGGCGGCTGACACCGCGGTCTCCCGCCTCGCCTGCGTAGGTGCAGTATGTGCCCGCAGTCACGCAGTCAGTGCTGATAAAGGCAACTTGGGCTACCAGGGCATTGTTGCGTCCCGCGCGTCGCGTTCAAGGTAGACAGGTTCCCACTTGTTGCGCGCCGCGGCCACGAGTTGCTGGCCAGAGACGGTCGCGGCGCGGGGGTGCGGCTCGCCGGGGGCGCCAGTTTGATTGGCGGTCATGAAGGTTGACCGGTTCGCCGATTCACCCGTGCCGACGGCAAGGTGATGGTGGCTGCGCTGCAGAGTCTTTGTTGGGTCTCGTCACCACTAGGGTTCCACAAGGGTTCCACAAGGGTTGCGCAACCGCCAAAAAAAAAACCTCCAAGCTCAAGCGGCGGCTCGCGCTGGCATTCGCGCTGCCGCTGGTCGTGTTCGGGGTCGAAGTAGGGGGCCGTTGGGGCACGGAGGCGGGCGCCTTTGTGCGCCGCTTGGCACGGGCGCGAGCGCGCGCACAGGCAGCCTCAACTGCTCCGGGCCGCCACAGCACGCGCGTTGCATCGCGTTCGCCTGCCGTTGCACGGGCGTCGCTCTGTGGCGCTGCTGCCCACGGCGCGTGCTCTGGGGGCTGCTCTGGGGGACGTTCTTGCGGACGCGCGCTGAGGTGCAGGTGGAGAGCCCAGCCGCTTGCCCGCCGGCGCCTGGAGTTAAGGGGGTGTTTGGGGTACCTTCCGACCTTGCCAGGAAAAAAAAGGCGCGCGGGCAGAAACACCAATCATCACGGCAATTCTGGCTGCTTGAAATTCCTCTTTCAGCCTGTGGAGTGCCATCGCGACCGGTTTTGCTCAAGCATTGTGTGTTTTGGGACCCTAGGCATCAACGCGAGATGTCGCATCGCGTAAAGGCGAACGTGGTTTGCTGCTTTTCGGTTGGCACAAACCTGGTGGGCCCAACCTCAGGTTGTCGCACATCATGTTCTGGCAGCGGCGCCGGTAGCTGGGAAAGAGGTTCCGCAAATGAGTTGTCCGTGAGCCCCGATTTGCCCTTGTCCCCCATTGCAGCTTGCTGTCTACGAGCACGGCGAGCACTTTGGAGTGAGACCGGACTATGAACACAAGCACCTCAACTGCAAGGATGTTGCCGGCCTAGCCTCAAACATGTTGGATTTGATTGTCGGCAGTGGCAGCTTACTTTGCAGGTGGCCGTTCCCTGAAGAAGGTCCACTTTCAGAAAAGCAAGCGCCGTCAGATGCCAAGACAGCGAGTGCTCTATAAGTTTGCTGGGCTCCAGCATCCCTGTTGACGGTCGAGGCCGATGACGTTTTCTACACTGCTGGAGAAGGCTGCAAAGTTCATTCCAGAGGACTTTTGCTGCTCTGTTTGGAAGGATTGAGGGCTTGCACGAACCCATGTCCCGTCACATCCCATTTGATTTAGCTTGCAGGAAGTCGCCTTGGCTGCGGAAAAGCCAGTGCCGCATGTTCTCCGTCCTGGTGAAGCACCTTCGCTGCCCTGGCAGGCAGCTTTGTTGGGTTGGCCAAGAAGCGCATTGCGCTGGATCGGGTTGTGACATCCGGCCGGTTGCGCGTGTTTCCGACAGTGCCTTGAGATGGTTTGAGCACAACTCAGACTTGGAAGGAATGGACCAAGTGGACTTGGAAGAACTATTATGATGATGCCAGACGATTGGCCAAAGCCTTCATCAAGTGGCCGAGCCGAACACAGCGAAGCTTAGCTAACCGTCATGCGCACTTTCATTTGTGGTGCAAGGCTTGGAGTGGAGCAGTTTGGCAGCGTGACGATCTTTGGGTTCAACGCATCTCAGTCAGCACGGAAAGGCACAGCATGGACCCGTGCCCATGTTGGGACTGCAGCAATCAGGCGCCAGAATGGGTTCTCAGCGCCTACGGTGCTATGATGTGCGGTGGCAACTTGTCAGTCTGGAATGGCAGGGCTGCAGAGGTGATGCTGCCTTGACTGGCTTACCGAACGCTGGTGCAAGGCAAGTTTGTCGGAGTGTATTCCACAGACACGGCAGAACAGGCCTGGACAATCGCGGTTTGTGTGTGGGCCGGTTTTTTGTCGGGGCCCCGCTTGCAAGGTTCACTACAAAGTGGATCATTCCAATGCTGCGGAACTTTAGCAAAATTGTGTGTGTGTGTGTGAGTGTTGTTTGCACAGTACTTTGAATTTGGAGAGCCCTGTCAAGGTAATGGTCGTGGACAGCCATGCCGAGTTTGCCGCAACTGTGGCCCACATTGAGGACCCAGACAGCCTTGCCAACCTTTGCTTTGACTTTGGG